GTCCAAAAACACTAACTCAATTCCCTAATGAATTCAACATTTATTTTAGCCGAGAAATTGATTTTTCTCTGGTCATAGCATTCCTTGTCAATTGAAAAAGCTTACCAGGACATAAAACCAAAAGATCAATTATAACATGATTCGCCTAGTGCAATTTTTTTGCCAGCCTAATTTGCAGGCTATTAGGTTCGATTAGAAATTTATAAAGAGCACACTAAAAAAATATCCTATGTCATAAAAAAAAGGATTATTCAAACTTTTCATACCCTCCCAACCTCTGCTACTTAGTGCACAACTCTTTCAGGAATTTCGCATAAAGGGGGACTTGCTTAATTGCATCGAGCAAAGGTATCGTTAGCTCAATCTTCTTAAATATTTCCATGATTTCCTTGTCTTTGTTGCTTTTAGCCAGTTTTGTTAACCTTTGAGGAAATGAAGCAATTTAAGAATTGGATTGAATAGGGGATTAAAAAAATACTTAATTAGTAGACTTGTTCGCTTCTTACTCAATCTCCTTCTTGACATCCGCTTCAAATTTCTCCTTTTGAGTCACAACGTTCGGACCTTCCAGCTCTTTACCATTTCACAAGACCATTGAACTAACATTGCTTGGGTAACAACCGGTTCATGTGAGTTTGAGCGGGTAGCTTGCCTTTCTCCATTTCTTTCATTTCACGCACTTCTTTCACGATGTGAGACATTTTATCTTCCAAGTTTTTTATGCTTGTTCCCGTCTTTTGTTGAAATTTCAAAACATTAAAGACAATTTTTTTCACCATCATGAAAAGAGTTACCAAGAACATGAGCTTGGGGTATGGTCTTTTGTTGTTGTTGTTGTGCAGGTGGTTGGAAACCTGATGGTTGTCGTTGGCCATGGTATTACTAATTCCCATATCTAAAGTTGAGGTGGTCTCGCCATCCCGGATTGAATGTGTTTGAATAGGGATCATAAGTCATTCTCGGTACAAAACCTGCAATATTCACTTCCATCTCATCCATCAATGTAGGACAAGCATCAGTAGGATGTTCAACACTCTCACAAATTCCACATGGCCTCGCCTGAGCATTCCCTACAACAAGTTTTCTCACAAAACCAGTTAATTAATTCAATTGTTGTTGCATATGAGAACTTACCTCGAAAATTTCCTTGACTCCGATGACATCCCTTGGCCCAAATTGTTGAGAATTTATGGCCGTATCGTTTAGTAATTCCCAAGCTTCTCTTGGAGTCTTGTTCATCGGAGTGCCTCCACTAGCATCATCCATGATTCTCCTATCAATAGAGGTTAGTCCTTCATAGAAATATTGGCAAAAGTTGCTCAGAAATATGACGTTGGGGACATCTAGCAATTAATTTATTAAATCTATTACCAATACTCATATAATGACTCCCTTGAAGCTTGCTTGATGCCGCAAATCTCATTTCGTAAATCCGTAGCTCGAGATGCGAGAAATAACTTCTCTAGGAACTTGCGCTTTATATCCATCCATGCGATTATACTTCAAGCAATAAAATTGAACAACCAATCCTTTGGTTACATCTTTCAAAGAGAATGAAAATGTGACTCCCGATTGTTTCATGCTTGTACACACCACATCGAACTTCTACAAGTGCTCGTGTGGTTCCTCACTTGACAAGCCATGAAAAGACGGAAATAAATATATCAGTCCAGATTTTAATTCAAATGACGTATTATCGACTATAGTAGGAAAAGTAATACACAAGGGGTATTGAATTAAATCGGGAGCAGCAAGCTCCTTTAGAGTTCTTTGTCGTGCCATTGGATGTATCACAATATCTTAAACTTCTTTGGTCTCTTCAACCTCGTCGGAACTAGAAATGTCAGCCAGTTGAATAACTAAGTTAAGTCCCAGCAACTCAACTTCTTTTTCAGTCCTCTTTTGCTCTCTAGCTTATTTTCTCAAACAGCATGCAGTTCTTTTGATCTCTGGATAAAAAATTAATTGACCTATACGACCAGTTCGAGGCATAAACCATTAAGCGAGAAATAGAGTTATATATAAACAACCAAATATAAAAAATCCTTATATTGATCCCCGGCAATGGCGCCAAAATTGGTAGTCTGTCTCACAACTGAAAAAAAAATATTAGTTCCTACCTTAAAAAATATGAAAAATGCAATAATGTTGGTGAGTAGATTCGTCTCCGTAGAGAAATAGAGACGATTTGACCACTTGGTTGAATATAATTATACAAATATATATGAATTGGGGGGAGGGGGATTTTGATTTACCACACTAAACAAGAGAAAATAAAATTCACTCAATAAATTAAAATAAAATAAATTGCAAGATGATTGATTTGCCAAAGATAATTAAACTCTAGCATATACATGAATTTTTTGTTCGGGATATGAAATTTGTTCATCGACTAAAAATCAAGTTCATTGAATAGTTGGATAAATTGGTCATAGTTGATCTACACGCGTACACAACCAATATTTTCTTACTTTTACGACAACTAAGGTACGACCGTTAGCTATTTTTCTAATCGAATGAGAATCTTAGGTACGACCGTAATATTACTGACTCGAAAATATTGAGGACTAGAAAGACCCAATTCAATTTAACAAAATTCCTACATAGATTTGTTCAAAAATTGATTTTAATTCTTTCCTAAAGTATTCATTTTTTAGGTCGCTACTCTAATTGAAAGATTACACAATTACGAGTGTCAATCTTCAGTATAACTATGAAATCTCAAATTAATACGCGCGCAAATATCAATTCAGGATTTCTTAAACCTATAGACAAGAATTAAAAAATACCCAACATGAACAAACGTCAAATTCAACAGAACTAAGTCTCCCAAATTCAATCTCAAACATCAATTCACACTACGCTAGAAATGAAACCTACTCACAATCCATAGAAATAACAAACTCAAGACAAAATATAAATATCACCATGCCTTCAATTTGAGAATCGACAAAGTAAAATCAATTCTGAAAATGAAACAGGAATGCCCTGAAAATTTGTCAGAACTGCGCCTGGGAATTCTCTGCGCTATTCTCTTCTTGCGTCTAATTCTCCCCTCCAAAAGTGATGTGTGTGAAAACATGATAATGCATTTCTCTCACTCTTCAATTGCACATCACTCTCTTTTTAATTCCTCAATCTTAGATCTTCTTTTCAATTTAATACCCATAGTCCTTAAATTGTCAATCTACCTCAAGAGACCTTTTTGTAAATTTTTCACATTTCTTTTCTTATACAGTGTTGTCTTTAGTCGTGATCAAACCTAAGGCTTTTTTGCATTATGCTCATTTTATCCATTATATGCCCAAAACTTTGTCAACTCCACAAAGCCTAATAAACAACCAAAAACACACAATTAGGAACATATATATAAAATTTTGCACCAAAAAATCGTCCAAAATATTCATCTAATATAGCATATATCATATATTTATTACAGTCCAACAACCCCGTACATCTAACTTTTTAAAACGGGCCAACATGCTTTCCTCTACCCCAAGAATGTCTACGGGGCGTTTCTCACGAAAGAGATGACTGTATCCGAATGAACCTCAACCGCCTCCTCCGTCCCCTACGCAATGATTTCTTTAGCTAGCGAAAAATGTCCCAGCATAACATAACGCGCACGAACTCTAGTGTATATATATATATATATATAACAATCTTAAACTCAATTCACCAATTATCTATAATACCCTAATTTTAGTCCTAAGCTTCACCATCCAACAACAAGTTTTTGGTTACTGATTGAGTTTTAAATGTTTGTTGAGTTGGAACTAGTTTATTATATACTCTTTCTATTTGAATACATAGTCTTGTTTATCATTTTTGTCCGTTCGAAAGCAATAATCTCGTTTTTATAAGTACTCATGTCACCATAAAACTATTAATAGTTTTTCATTATTATTACACAAATACTACTATTTTTTACATTAATATACTTACAAAGGCAAAAAAAACATTCATAATATTTTTTATCAAATATCAATATAATATTATTATTTCTCGTGTCCAACACAAATAAGATTATGTTTGAAACGGAATGAGTAATATATATGAGTAAAAAAAATTAAAATTTGGTTAAATGTTTTAAAACTTAAATTTTAATAAAAAATATATAATGTGAATACATTTTCTATAGAATATAATTTTATATAATACAAATAAATAAATATATGAATTTTTATGTATGATTAATATAAATTAATTTTATATAATTTTTTTAAAATCTACATAAATATAATTATTTATTGAATAAAAAAAATAAAAATTTTGAATTATCATGTTGTAATATTTAAAAAAAAAATAAAAATAAAATAAAAGTATAACGTCAACCGCAGTTCGGATGACACCAAACACAATATATACTGAAGACAAAGTTCATTTTCCAAAATTCCATCGTAATTTACTCATAAGCTGGTGTATCTTTCCATCGATTGCTAGTGAAGAGAAAGAGAAAGTATATTGGATCTATCAAATTCTCAAACACTTAGGGTGTATTTGTTTGGGGGGTTTGGATTTTGAGTTGGGATTTGAATATTAAAAATTTTGAATTTGAATAGTTGTATTATGTGATATAAATAGGTGTTGATGTGATGTTTTGAATGTAAAATTAATTTTTAGTATAATATAAAAAATAAAAAATAAGTGTTTGATTTGATATTTTTGAAAAATTTTTTTTGGATAAATAGTAAGATTTGGTAAAATCCTTCAAAGGAAAAATGATTTCACTGTTTATTTTGTTATTGTCCACAATTTAATGTCTATTCAATTCATAGTAACTATTTTATTAATTTTTAATTTTAACAAGTAATAATCAATTTACTATTTTTTTCTACTTACTCCAGCTTTTTACAAATTTTTTAATAGATTTCTTATAATACTTTACTTTAATTTTTTATATACCTCACTTTAATAATTAATATTATTATCTCTTAATCTCCTATCCAACAAAACTTACATAGATATGCAGAAAGGAAGTGGTACTTGACAAGAAAACCTTCATAAGATAAACTTAAATTTAATTTAAACCCAATGCTAAAATCAACCAAATCTTGTTCGCACAAGAACTCATTACCACAATCCACACAGCTTATCAAATTTGCTGCATCAGCTAATAAATAATATAAGCCAAAGTATTGCAAATTATGTACTGTACCATATCTGAGTTTCCAAATAAAGACCTTATCTTATGACAACAAAGATCTTTCAGGGTCGTCTTCGTCTGCACCATATATAATGTTGAAATAGTGCCTTAAATCCCTGGGTGTGAGCCCCGGAAACCGATGGATACTGTTCGGTTGTATATTAATCTGGACAAATGGCCATCTCATGGATTGTGCAGCTTCACATTCTTCCCAGCCATCCCCAATAACACAGAATCGGACATTCGGCATGGAGAAATGATCCTTGATCCACTCAAAGCATTGGAGCTTCCCAACTTCCAAAGAGCTGTACACTGGAAAACAATGCAAATTGGGCAGAAGGAAAACCACAGAACAAACGTTAACTATTGAATGAAATCATAGCCATGGCCAAGAAGCATTTCAATTGTAATATAGAAGTGCCAGTGTATGGGTAAAATCTTAAATTTTGAAATGTATATGTTGTGTTAGTCGTATAGACTGCTTGTGAAAGTTTGGATCTAAATATGAAAAAAAAAATGATATTCTTCTTATGGTACAGAAAGAACCTCTTGGTGGAGTCCCCCGGATGTGATATGGTTGTCCCATTTGGGATTTTTTTCCAGTTATTTATTCCAACAATTGATCATGTTGGTGATTTATGAGTAATAAGTGATATTAGTAGCCAGAACAAGATAGTCGAAAAGGTACCATGCATAACAACGTGCCATTTCTTTTTAATGATAAGTTGCAGTGCTGCAAACGACTTAAATGAGGACACAAGAAGTGATTTACCCTATATTTTCATCTAATAACTTCAGTTAGAAAACTCAAAATTAGTGAAGGTATGTAGAAAATAAAATGAAAATACTAAAACATGAAGAAATATTAAAACCAAATCATAAGGGCATCACAACAGATTCGAGCTGCATTTGTAAAGCAAAAGCGGAAGAACGAACAAACCATTTTCGCAAGTAATCATATTATCCAGTCGAAAGAAGAGGCATTTGACCAGGCTTGGTATAAGTGGTCCAGATGTAACCAAAATGTTTACATGCTGAAACTGGGCATCTCTAGTATTATCCGAAGTTATTGACAGGTTCATGTCTTGTTTTGGGCTTGTACACTGCTCCAAGCATGACCTGGCTGTTTTGGATATATATATATATATATATATTTTCTTTTAATTGAAATTGCTTACTTAGCTTTGAAGAAGAAAACATAACCAACATTATTCCTTGCAATGAGGAATGACATGCTAAATGAGAATGAAATTCTATGCTGAATTTCCCATCTTGCAATACATAATTAACTTGTTGAATAAATATGAAATTGTTCATTATTTCAACATTACATATAGAGAAAATGCACATAAATGCAATATAACACAATCTTAGGCATGGTATCAAGTAAGAAAAGTGAAAAAATTCTATTTCCCCACTGAAAAAGAGAGGGCTGATTAAAATAGTAAACTTGGACCCAAAATCAAATTATAAATCTACTACTTTTGTAAAGTTTGACGCCACCAAATGCAAAATCTTTTACTATTATATCTTATTTGGGGTGTTTTAAAGACTTTGACTTTTCTTTATTTATACATTATTTCTTATTTTTTCCTTAATAAACCATTTAAATATATTTTATAAAAACATTCCAAACTAAAAATAAAGACAATGGATTTAAAAAAGAAAAACAATCAAAATTATACTACCTAAAAATATTCCAAAAAGTAAACAATCAAAAGTTTACACAGATGTAGCGTAAGAATTAAGAAATCCTAATGATAGATGTGAAAGAAAGAGCTCTTCAACAGACAGCTAATTAGTGTAAATAAATTTACATGAAGCTGATAATACCCCTGATGATAAATTTCTAGACGCATTGATTTAGACAAATAAATAAATAAAAAGTTAGTTTGCAAATGATTCATCAAGTTTGACAACAAGGTCAAACACCTCCAACTGTGATGCTTGTGGGACCCTTTACTACTCTAGCTTGAAACGTGTACTGCTGTTATTAAACCACAAATTTAAGGTGCACCGCCCTAAACCCCAAAAATTCCTGCACAAGCACCACTCCAAACTCCAAATTCCTTTTCTAATTCTAAGTTTCTAACATTGTGCTCTCTAAATAAGAATAATAATAAGGCCACCAAGGGAACACCTTGCTCCAAGTAGCTTATTTAAATATTCCTAATTTGATAGTTCACATATGAGTCCATTTAGGCATTTACCTTCAATTGAAAAGGAATTAGAGCCAAGATAATTTGCTAAATCAGGCAACCACAATGGATATAAATATCTCTGAATGAGAATTAGCAATGCAAAAAACTATGTCGGGATGTAAGAAATTACCTGAAGACAGCCATTTATCTGTGTACGTGTCTGTCAAATCATAAAGGCTATCCCACAATTGTATGAGATCTTGACTGAGAATATTATACAACCCCTACAAAAGATAAATGCATAAGATATGATTACTACAGCCAAAAAAAAAAAATATCTTTTGTCCCGAACATCTGATCGTACTATACTGATTAGCTTATCACAAATTTTCATATATGATGACTATGTTAGATGCAATTTGTACCTTCCAACATGAGACCCTACAGTTGTTTCCGTAAAACCTTTTGTATTTTCTAGTTAGCCAAAGCACAATATGTTAAGAATTTTGCTTCTTTAGATCTTTTTAATTTAGCAATTTCAAATGCTTGAAAAAAGCTTTCCAGCGCTGGGTAGGGCTACTGTGTGAACTAGAGTAATGGCATGAGAACTTCCTGCCCAACAATGACAGTAGGGATCATTCTATGGAAAAAGTTCCGGTCATGAGGTGGGCAGGGAATGAATGAAATAGATTGTTGCACGGATTAGCCAAGAGCCACGATAGAGTAATTTCCATACAATTAATTGTCTTTACAAATGATTTTTCATCTACTATAAATTTTGATGTAAGGAGAAGTATAATAAAAAAGTAATTAGATACAAAGCAGAAGCAAAAATCCTTTCTGAAGAACAGTAGCAAGTGAAGAAGATTTACTTTATCAATCCTCTCTTCCACTCTGTCCTACTATTCTCTCCTCTCCCTCTATTGAATAGTTAAACTTTGAGTGTGTTCGCACATACAAGCAATAGGAAACAATCAAACGGAACCAACTGTTAACCCAAAAGCCACCAAACTCCTTATTTCTCCAAATTAATCATAATGTCTTCAAACCTTAGATGCCTCTTTAAATACTCCTACTAACCCTACTTACTGAAAATAAAGTAGGTTCATCTAATAACCGAAAATCCAAGCCTAATCCAATTATAATGTCTTAATAAAAAAGATAAATAAATAAGTCTAAACCCGTGAATAAGGTCTAAGCCCGTCCCCGTCGTCGATACACCAGTAATGGGCGAGGCTTTTCTTCCTCTTGCATCTCTATTTCTAGCTCATCTTAGTACTACTCTCTAGTGATTCCTTCCCTATTCGAATTCTTGTTGTCCTCAAGGTCAAAGTCTGGAAACTATCACTAGAAATGAGCCACTCAAACAAGTCGCCTTATCGTTTGGTTGTCCCAGCCAATTAATTAAAATTTCATCTTCATCGCGTTGGCCTACTCGCACATTTCCCCAAGGTAAAATAGAGTCAGGGTTTGAAGGTTGAACTTACTGGAAACTCTAAGTTGTTTGGTAATTCTGACTTCACAGGATACTCCCGTACCACACATCGCATCTGAGATACATGGAATATTGGGTGAATCCGGCTAGACGGAAGTAAGGTAAGCTTGTATGTTGTCGGGTCCACCCTACCTTCTACTGCAAGAAAACACCGTAGAAGTGGGCAACTAACTTATGATGAGATCATTGTGCTATGGATGTTTGTCGATGGGGCCGGACCTTAAGAAAAACACGATTGCCTACTACATACTCCACTGCCTTACGTTGCTTATTCGCATACTTGGTCTTCTACTGTTGGGCATGCTCGAGGTTTTTCGTAAGACGGTTGATATCACATCCTGAATGCCAACACATCTGCCACCGCAGCCATCTGACACTCCCCTGGCAGGAATCGTCAAATGGTGGGTGGTTTCTCTCCCATAGACCGCCTCAAATGGGAGACATCCAGGATGCCGTTTGGTATGCGGTGTTGTACCAGAACTAACCATTACCAGGATCTATTATATATATTTTTTTTTGTAATTAATTTATCTATTTTGATCAGTGTAAAATTAATCTATTAAAAGATTAAGTTCTCAATCTTATATAAATATAATGCATTTCAAATATTGGGAAAAAAATTATATATATTTCACAAACATATTTATAAAAATAGTCCAATCTATATTTTAATTTCATAACCAAAGTTTAGAAGCATTAAAACCATCTATTGATATTTTCCAATATGTGATAATTTTCCACATAGAAAAATAAAATTGACTAAACCACAAAACTAACTAACCGCCAGCTTGAACCACAGTTCAACTATTAAACCACCGGACTAAACCCAACTGTTCAAATATGGTTGCACAAATGGATGGAGCTATTCCAGTTCTTTTATAGTGTAGTAAAGACATTCATGCACTCTTCTTCCAACGTAGGAGAACTAATCTTATACAAACAATTAAAAAATAAAACATATATATACATAATGATTACATATGGTCTACTTTCCTTCGTACAAATAATTAAAAAGTAATTAAAATTTTATATATTGATAAATATTAATTGTATGTTTTTAAAATTTTCTGAATAATAAATTAAAATATTAAATTTTTTATCTATTATACATTATTAATTAATCTTAAAAAATATGTATAAAATAACTACCGTTATTATACAAAGTATTTATTTCAATTTTTATTAATATTAACTATTTATAAAAATAGTTTAATTGAACCAAGGGTTTTTTTCTCTGACAAAAATTTTTCAACACATTTTCTCAAAAAAGAAATTCATATACTTCACACTTATTATTTTTATATTATCTACACAATTTCTTATACTTCATATCAATTTTTTTTTCAAATCAAAACACAAAACAAACACACACTAATTTATTTAATACATTAATTATTAATTATTATTATTATTATTATAAAATTCACGTAGGATAAAAAATATATATACGTAAAAAAAACAATTAAATATATTCTATAAATTTAAAACAAATATTTTCAAAAGAAGAAAATATATATAGAAATATTAATAGAGGTATCCAATTCCAAATCAAATATTCTAGGACAAAAAAATATATATAACATAATACAGCACCCACAACAAATATTATAGAAAAATAGCAAACACATTCAAGATTTGCCAATATATATATATATATATATATATGAAAAACTGAAACCAAACAATTAAACTTCAACTTCAATTTGACTTAAAGGGTAGTTAAGATTCAAATCAAAACTGCCTATTTAAAAACCATCAAATAGGCTTGGATTGAAATTATGTGAAGTTCAACTTTCTTTTATAGTAGCGTAAGGAGACCCACATATCTCTACTTCCCATGTGAGATAGAACAAAAGAGATAGAAATAAACAATTAAATATGTTGGCCCATATTTATAAAGTAACCAACCAAATGTCCCAACCAATAAAAAAAAAAGGAGAAAAAAATACAAAATTGCTAATAATTCATCTTTCGCAGTTGATGGGCTTCGCTCTGAGTTGCTATATATATATATATATATATAAGATTCTACCCACAGCAACCACAACACCCATTGTTTTTGTTGTTCACAAGTGAAACAACGTAAATACATCTCCACCATCCGGTTTAATACCTCTGCCTGGCCGTCTGTTTTAGGATAGTATATTGAGCTGAACTTCATATGGGTTTCGGCGCGTGTAAATAGTTCCTTCCAGAAGGCACTGGCAAAATAAAGGGTTACGATTACTGACAATGGATCGTGAAATGCCATACAGTCGTACAATCTCGCGGACGAATGCCTCTGCATAAGTACATGCCAGAAAATACCTTTCCAATGTACATTCATAGCCAAACGTCTATATTTCCGCAATGCGCTTGCATGCCCACCTAAAGGGGTATCATGAACTCATGTAAAAGGTGCAAGATCCAGTGCGAATCTGCAGGTAGCACTAGACACCCTTTAAAGAATAATCGACCACCTCATTCTGTTGTTGTAATACAATGCCTTGGATGTAGTCATCACGGCTCTTTTCTTCCAAGGCATCCGTCAGTCCTGCCCATTCCGCTGTCAGAGTTCCATTTTCATTCCTACAATATAGTGCATCTGCGGCAGCATTTGAAATTCCTGTTTTATATTCAATTTTAAAGTGTAACCCAATAGCTTTGCTACCCAAATCTGCTGTGAAGATGTCAATCCTTTGAGAAAGTAGATGTTTGAGGCTGCAGTGATCAATTCGAACCACAAATTTCTGCCCCACCAAGTAAGGACACCAATGTTGCACTGCTAACATGAGACCTATCAATTCACACTCATATGTGGATCTCGTCAGAGTTCGGTCGATTAGCGGTTTGCTAAAATTAGAAAAGAGGGTCTCAATTTTGCATCAAAACAACACTAATTCCCATGCCAGAAGCATCGCATTCGATCACAAAACGGAGATCAAACTGAGGCATGGCTAGTACGGAAGCTTTCAAGACCCGTTTAAGGTTAGTAAAAGCAATCTCTATTTCCAGTGTGTCCATTCGAACAATGCAGAAGCTGCTTTCTTTAATAATGCAGTCAACGGTTGAGCCAGAATGCCATATCCTCGTAAGAATCATTGGTAAAATATCCAATCAGTCCTAAAAATCCCCGCACCTCACGGATCGAGAGGGGTTGGGATAGTCCACCACTACGCTCACCTTTGTTGGATCTATGGAAACCCCTTCGCTGAAATAATGCGGCCCAAATACTTCACCATTATACTTCCGAATGAACATTTATTCCGATTAGCCTTAAACTTGTGGTCCTACAAAATCTCAAAAACTTGCGTTAAATGCTCTCGATGCTCCTACCATGTCTTGTAGTGAACCAATATGTCGTCAAAGAAAACCAAGACGAATCTCCTCAAGAATAGCCTAAATAGGTCGTTCATTGTCAATTGAAATGTAACAATGTATTAGTCAATCCAAACGGCATCACTAGAAACTCATAGTGCTTGTTGTGGGTCAAGAATGCAGTCTTGTGAATGTCGCAAGCCGCCACCCTAATCTGATGGTACCCTGATCGCAAATAAATTTTCGAGAAAAATGACCTCTCTTGCCAATTCTTCCAACATCTCCTGAATTAATGGTATAGGATATTTATCTGTAATCGTCACCTTATTTAGTTATCTCTAATCAACAAAATACGACTCCAGTCTTTCTTCTTCACTAGTAAAACTGGGCTGCAGAAAGGCTCGAGCTCAATTGGATAATTTCTGCCATTAGCATATAGCCCATCAATTTCTCTATCTAGTCTTTCTAACTATGGCTATATCGGTATGGTCG